CAGTTTCACTGGTAACATCACCTTGCTGAGAGTAAGACGGCTTGAAATGTGCTTGGATCCATACAAAAACTGGATCCAAGTGGATCCAATTTTTGAATTTTTGAAATTGTTGCTATGCTGTGACGTAGCACTTTCAAGCCCTATAGACCAATCCCGAAAAGATTGTCTGGGTTCGAAAGGGGGCATGTCACCTGAGAGTACACTGTACAACACATACATGGCACTACCTGATCAGCATGCGGCACAAGACGTGTTTGATAGTTCGCGTGTGAATGCGAGGGTAAGTACACGGTTTTCTCGTTAGTTGCATGCAAAAGAGACGATGCGACAGACAGCAAAGCCCTTTGTAGTTTTCTCTCTCGCACTGGTAATGGTCTGCTGTTGGAGTTGAAATGCTAAGACATAATCCTTGTTTCGCTCTTCTGGGTAGTGTGAAGAGGTCAACGAACATGTAGAGCTCACTTTGATGAAGTAGGCAAGGCTGTGAGCGCTGTGGCTCAAAGCGATAGGCCCTAAATCTTACGAGATATTTCGAGTGCTATTGCTTGTTGCGAGCGCTTCGTTTTCGATGAGTCCTGCCTCTTTCCTGGCCGCTGCCCTCCTATAGGATCAACCACGAAGTGACTGAACTCATCTGCGGCCGATCAATGTTATATTACACAAGAAGATATCGTTTTCGCCAAGCCAGTGCCCCACCAAAGACCATCGCCGTGTCACACCGTCGGAACGAGTTCATGATGAGAAACATCATTCGCGCGTGATGAAGAACTATTTCGAAAGACAACAATCATAGTCTTTACCCCCGGGACGACAACTATGCGCACGTCCTGCAAGGGGAGAATGTCACCAGCGACATCAACGAAGACGACGGCAGTATTTCGGAAACCTGGAGTCAGCAGAGGTCGTCAAGCTCCTCCGCGACCCGGTCCATGTACAGTATAGGTGACATGTCGACACGAGCGTGCGGAAACACTGCATACACTGTAGTAATGTTGCGAGAGTTTGCGGAAGGAGTCCAAGTCGGGAAATCCATCAGCTCCAAAAGCTACCTGTAGGCGGGCGATGAGACTCCAGCTTCAGACTACAACAGTCAGGACTTGTAAATAGTTGAACTTTGTGAAGCAGCAGATCGAGAAGTTAGCTGAAATCGTAGCTGTTGCAGTATGTCGGTGCTATGTAGCTTGCATTTTTTACGGAGAGTCGATCGCCACGCGAATGTTTCTCTCCTCACCGAGAGCTAGCTGGCCTCCAAACTCCGTCAGGGTCTGCCTAAGGTACCGAAGGTCCTTTGACTAGCTGCTGGCAGGACTCCATCAAATCCTTTCGCTTCAGCTCGGCGAGCAAAAGTCTCTCTCTCCTCCGCCATGAGCTGACACACACAAACTGAATAGGGCTTGAAAGTGCTACGTCACAGCATAGCAACAATTTCAAAAATTCAAAAATTGGATCCACTTGGATCCAGTTTTTGTATGGATCCAAGCACATTTCAAGCCGTCTTACTCTCACTCACAGTCTCAGCAAGGTGATGTAACCAGTGAAACTGACTGATTTGGCTACTGGGGGCGGGGTTACAACTGGTGGCGAAATAAAAGTCACACCTGCATGCGACATGAGTGGGTTGCTATGCACCCACATACTTAGGCAATAGCAAAGTCACACCTTAGTGGATCCAAAAATAGAAATCTGATGTCAACTTACTACTCCCTGGCCGTTTTGACGTCATCACTTTCAAGCCAAAACGATGCACTTCACACATTCTGGCTTGCACGCGTGCCCCCTTTCACGAACCCAGACAATCTTTTCGGGATTGGTCTATTCAAAACAAGAAAGAAAGGAAAGAAAAACAGAGCCGAATCTACCGATTGATCCATCAATCGACAAAGGGGACTAATGGGGCTGTTAAGTGATGACGTCACAGTTCCTTCGATACGCATAACAACGATCACACTGGGGACAAACAAAAGTAGCGTCGTCTCCACCGAACCAGTTGTCAGTGGCAACATATAGAATCGTGTACATTTCTTCGTTTCTTCTTTGCTGTTTTCAGTGAGTGTTTTGTTTTCTCTTTGTCCTTGATCTCGACGATGTTGTCGTGCTCACCTTACTGAGACGTCTCTTGTGACTGTAGCCAGTGTCACGGAGGATTTTATTGGCGTGACAAGGTAGATCGCCGAGATCGAGCGTGAAAAACGCTCTGCATTAGTAGCTCCTGTAGAATGTTTTCTGGGATGGCGTATCCATGGTCAACAAAGCAAAGGTGCAAGACAGCACGAGAGATCGTGTAAACGATGTGAACTCCAAAAGGTAAGCTCCTGAACAAGTGGAAAGATATGTGTATTTACAAACTCTCTCTTCATCCATCGATTGCCGCTATGCATTGCATTTTGTCTTCACAGATAATCTGGCCAAATTTATTGTAACTAGAGAGTGCAATCGTGCTTGGGGCCCATCCCAATGTCATCACATGGCTGTGGTGACTATACAACAGAGAAAGACCAAGGAACTACAAGTTACGCTATACTGTCCACTAACACTACCAGTCACTAAACAATCAGCTCATGCGATAACATTGCATGACACTCACCGACAGTACTGACGTTCTACAACTAACTGGCTAACAGTTCTAGCACATCTTGGATGCGCACTCCAACAGCCTTCCAACTTGGAAGGTTCTACGTTATAGAAATAACATAATAATCAGGTTCGGCCTCATTTCCTCTGTGCTGCGCTGATGAGTTTACAAAGAACGAAACAGCATGCTGTCCGCAGATTGAGTATTTTCGCTCCTGCTCTTGTAGTAGTTGAGCACTCTCATGTGGGGTAGTGCCTTTGCTGTTTGCATTACGCAGAGCTCACTGACTTGTCAGTTTGAGCACTCTGGCAAGGTACGTTCAGGCCTGATTGGAAATTTTTATTTCCATTGCTATCAGGTTCGGCCTCATTTCCTCTGTGCTGCGCTGATGAGTTCACAAAGAACGAAACAGCATGCTGTCCGCAGATTGAGAAATAACATAATTGTATAATTAAACCTCGGCTCTCCATCTGTGTTTATGGACTCTTGATATGATATCTCAGACTATACACTCGGTTCCTTGTTATAAGTAAAGAATAAGTATCTAATATTGACAGAGTACGAGGTCAATATAGGAAATAAAAGCCGAGTAAAAGACCGAGGCAAAGCCGAGGTCTTTTACGAGGTTTTTATTTCCTGCGTGCACATGCTACGAGATTGAGTTTAATAATAAAATTCCTATACTATACTGACCAAGTACGAAGTCAATATTAGATTTACCACGACAAACAGTCCGTATTTCAAATTCCAGAACGATAACCTCATGAATCCCGGTTTTATGATTGCACAACCGTTGCACCACCACCTACTCATGCAGTGACAATGCTGCACTAGGCACCGTTCAACTGCGCAACCCCTAGGCAGTCAAATAAGCAGTCAATATACAATGTAGCCCTAAGGAGTGAAATATGCAGGAATATTTGACTGCTTAGGTATGGCAAAAATCTTTGTGAGTCAATACCAAGGGAGTGGTATATATTATAACAAGGAACCGAATGTATATAGAGATATATACACCAGTATGAAAACCGAGGCGAAGCCGAGGTTTTTATAACTGGTGTATATATCTCGATATACACGAGGTTCCTTTGTTATAATATATTTATACCTCTCCATATTCACCGTGTGTGACCTCCTAATGGCTTGTTCCTCGCTGACAACTACTGCTAATTTCCCTTAGCGGTGTATATGGAGATATATACACCACTAAGGGAGAGCATGCCTAAGACTGTAAGTGTATATGGAGTGAGGTATAAATACTATTATAACAAGGAACCGAGTGTATATGTATAGATTATAGACCGGTTAGGAGGTCTATACAGGATATATAGACCGAGTAAAAGACCGAAGTCCCCCGAGGTCCCTTTGTTATACTAGTAATATATTTATACCTCTCCATATTCACCGTGTGTGACCTCCTAATGGCTTGTTCATCGCCGACAACTACTGCTAATTTCCCTTAGCGGTGTATATGGAGATTTATACCTCACTCCATATACACCCACACTCATATACCAGATCTCCCATGAAGTTTATAAATTTCCATATACACTGTTCAATATACACCACTAAGGAGGTATATACACCACTAAGGAGGTATATACACCACTGAGGAAAACCATCAGAAAAAAACTCACTGAGGAGCTTTCTTTCTCTAAAAGGAGTGTATATAGCTTTTATTAGTGCAATTAGGAGTATAATAGATGCAGACATGGCCAGACAACAACGAGTTCATGGAATTTTTAAGGATTTTTATGTTATTCAAAATCGATTTTCGTGTTCCGCTCATCAGTGAATAGTATCCTAATTGCACTAATAAAATTGCTTTCTCCACGCCGACTCTTTGTATATAGCTTTCTTTCTCTAAAGCTATATTCACTCCTTTTTGCTCTTGAGCTTGCGCATGGAGAGGTATAAATATATTATAACAAGGGACCTCGTGTATATCGAGAAATATCGACCAGTTATAAAAACCTCGGCTTCGCCTCGGTTTTTATACTGGTCTATATTTCTCGATATACACGAGGTCCCTTGTTATAATATATACATACATGTATACACCACTAAGGGAGAGCATGCCTAAGACTGTAAGTACATGGAGTGAGGTATAATTATTAGTCATACCGGTACGCGGTATCTTCGCTAGTGCTGCGCGATCAACGCCGATTTTCAATTATTTTTCAAAGGCGGCGAGCTCGCGAGATTCATTTTTGTTGCAACTCAGCATGACACTGACAAAACTGGAACATCAAACAAGACCTGTCATGTATACTCGTACTCGTAGCCGTAACTGCCTTTGACAGTTTGAGTAATGCACTAGCACTGGTCGTACTTGACCACTGGCACTGGCGCTTGACCACTGGCGCTTGAGTTTTGTACAGGTAGTAGTACTAATCTTGAACTAAGCTACTTACTTCTCATCAAACCAGCTTGGACGCTAGCACTTCCCACAGCGAATCACTTTACAAACCTGTTCTTCTTATCTGCCTAGCCTCTACACAGTACAGCTCTGGACTCTCTGGTGACACTGTTTATGTCTTGGTGTCAAGGCCAACTGCAGCTAGCCTAGCCCGTGCATCTGCACATGTAGCACTTCTACGGGATCCACCAGATTTTACAAGTCAAGAGTCTTGGGTTGCAGTGAAGTGATGATCCCCAACCTTGCACTACTTGCCAAAACTCATCCTCTTGTTCCCTCGAGAGTCTCAGTATTTGTCGCGACTAGCACACGAAGGACATTTGCACTGTCCAGCTCGAGCTCCCCCGTTCAAAAAAGTAGGACAGTTTGCTACGGTAGAGTCAATCAAACGTCCAGTTGCAAGCCAAATTTTCAGTTCTCTCGTTTCGGACCTGACACCCACCGGTTTCTTTCTTCAGGAGTACAAGGAGCAATGGGTGCGACCCAAGGAAAACCTGAATCGGGCGATGCAGCAGCAACTGCCTCTGCCGTGGCTGCTCAGCCATCCGCCAACGCCGTGGAGGCCGTCGTTGCCAAAGTCGGAGATTTGAAGGATGGAGAAATGAAGGAGGTTGAAGTTGGCTCCGGGAAAGCGTTGCTGGTGTACAGTGGTGGCGAATACAGTGCCATTGGGCACAAGTGCTCGCACTATGGTGCGCCGCTGATCAAGGGCTCTCTGTGCAACAATCGAGTGCGATGTCCATGGCATGGCGCCTGCTTCAACGTGAAAACTGGCGACATTGAGGATTTCCCGGGCCTGGACTCCGTGCCACGTTTCGGCGTGCGCATTGACGGCGAGGACGTGGTGGTTATCGCCGAGCCGAGCGCGCTGGCCAACTTCCGGCGCACGGCCGACATGGCCGAACCGAAGAGCGATGACGCGAGGGTGTTCGTTATCGTGGGCGGTGGTGGCGCCGCCATGTCGGCTGCAGAGTCGCTGCGTCAGGAGGGCTTTACCGGCCGCATACTGATGTTCAGCAAGGAGGATAGCCTGCCGTACGACCGTCCCAAGCTCAGCAAGGCCCTCAGCAGCACGGCGGAAGCACTTGCGCTGCGCAACGCTGATTTCTTCAAGCAGCACGGCATCGAGTTTGCCGGCGGCAAGGAAGTGGTGTCGGTGGACGCGGCGGCCAGCACGGTGACGTTTGCCGACGGCGCCAGCCAGAGCTACGACAAGGTGCTGTTCGCCACGGGAGGCGCGCCGCGCGCCTGCACATGCCCGGGCGCTGACCTGGATGGCATACACTTGCTGCGCACGGTGCCGGACGGAAACACCATCGCCGCCTCCGTGGAAGGCAAGCATCTCGTCGTCGTCGGCTCCTCGTTCATCGGCATGGAGGTGGCTGCTTGCTTGTGCAGCAAGGCGGCATCGGTCACTGTGGTGGGGCGCTCGCCGATACCGTTCGCTGCTGTCCTCGGCGAGAAGATTGGGCTGGGCATCAGGAAGATGCACGAGGACAAGGGCGTCAAGTTCCAGCTGGGTACGACCGTGACCGAGTTCAAGGGTGAGGGTGGTCATGTCACCAGCGCGGTCCTCGGCAACGGCCAGACTCTGCCGGCCGACATAGTCGTGTGCGGCCTGGGCGTGACGCCCACCACTTCGTACCTGAAGGGCGTCGACGGCATCACCTTCTCCGCGCACGGCTCCGTGCAGGTCGACAGCCGCATGCACGCCGCGGGCGACATCTATGTGGCCGGCGACATCGCTCACTTCCCACTGCCCATCGCCAACGGGCACGTGACCATCGGTCATTGGCAGCTGGCCGCTCGCCTGGGCCGTGCAGCCGCTCAGGGCATGCTGGACAAGACAGCCGCCGGAGCACCTCTGGATACAGTGCCCTTCTTCTGGACGCAGATGTTCGGTAAGAGCCTGCGCTACGCCGGTTATGGGCACGGCCACGATGACATTGTCGTCGAGGGCGATCCCGACGAGTTGAAGTTTGCCGCCGCCTACCTGAAGGGCGACAGCGTGATTGCGGTGGCTGCCATGGGTATGGACCCGCTGGTGTCGCGTGCCGCCGACCACCTGCTGGCCGGCACCATGCCGTCGGCAGCCGACGTCCGTGCTAACCCAGCGTCGCTGCTTGCCGCTTGAGAAGCCGCAGTGCGGCACTGATTGTACTGCGGTAAGAGTCCTGTTTTCGCGTCGCCGCCCGGATGCAGCCATTGTTCGCTGATGATGGGTGTTGTGCACAGCCGCTCCATACAGCGTGCCAGTATCTTTTTTTTGTGACTGCATGTTGCACATGCGCGCGTACTGTGTTTGTTTTTCCCTGGAAGGAATGCGTGACGGCGCGTGCTAGCAGTAATCTGTCGCTGGCTGTTCGTCCGTGTCTTTGTTTTTAGTCAGGCGTCATGGCAATAGCAGCAGCAGCAATCTTTATCAGTCTTGCCGTTGTTGCTGCGCCAAGCCTTTTTCTCGGGGATTGCCTTGAATTTAGTTTGGACGTATGCTTTCAGTATTTGACTT